ATAAAGACGTTGGTTAGATCCAGTGACAGGGCCAAAGAGTGTGAGTTCAATACCAGTTGGAGAACTTGGAGAGGGAAATTAACAGGAGATAACTGATAACTGACATCCGTTAAACATGTTACGTTCAGTTCGACATTCTAACCACCTGAAGAAGGCCGGAGCGTACAACGGTCGAAACGTTGTAAGAAATATGGCGACAAAGATCAGGACAATAGTCCGAATAATATAAATAGTGTACATAATACGTCATCTCAGAAATATAGACAGATGTTCAAATTCTCTCATATTACACCGCTACAACATAGGACACAATATTATGCCATCCTTATCAAAAATGAACATAACACTTTAAAGAGAAAATGTTATGAAAATATATTTATAGCAATACTATCAACTATTAACACACGTTTAAAAAACTACATTACATCACCTTTTTTTTTATAAATCCATTATTAATGAATCTAACTTTTCTCTTCTGAATACATAAAAAAAAATCAATACTTATACAAAATACGCACGCGTTATACTTTAATAAAAATTTTTCAAAATATTTTGCATGGACTTCACGAAACTTTACACACTTTAACATCCAGAATATTTTCTTATAATTATCTGAATATTATATTACCTGATTACACGTGACACATATTCAATCAAAACATCCTACTGCTTCTAACTAACTTTTACACATTTAAGCGTCGAGAATGTTTGACACACATATTGGAATATTATCTATTACTTCATGACACGTGACACGTATGTAACCAACAAGAAAGAGCCAAACACTACATACCTTTAATCTGCGTCTCTTTGATTTTTATCATTTTTAAATCATTTCTATCTTGATCTCTGACGAAGCTTTAATAATGTGAAGCAAGTTAGATTAAAAATCTGTTTTCTTACTTGTTCTCATATATATATATATATATATATATATATATATATATATATATATATATATATATATATAAATATAAAGTCCGTCGGAAGTTATTATGCCAATCACATAAACCTAACGGCCAGGGCGGAGAGACTCCTAGAGTGACGTCAACGGCCAGGTTGGAGGAAACACAAGAGGTAGTAAATTGCCGGGGCGGCGGGCTTCCTACTGTGAAGTTACCGGCCAGGTCAGATGACTTGCTATAGTGAAGTCGACGGAGAAAACCTTATAGTGAAGCCAACGACCAAATCGGAGGGCTTCCTAGAGTGCATTCAACGGCGACGGAGTTGTTTTGGAAACTACTTGTAGAATTTTAAACTATTAATTTAGCAAAACGTAGCATGTGTTAAATTTTCAAGTACTTTCTACCTGTTTTATTTTCGTTTTTCGATGTATTAAATTAAACTGCAGTCTGAAGTTATAATGCAAAAGCAGAAGATCGCTGTTTATTTCAAGAATAAGATAAAAAAAGATCATCAAATTTAATAAACACATACAATCGAACATATATCAAACATATATGATAAGGCTTTGAAGCATTTACATCACCTTTCTTCTATATTATTCATCAATTTTGTTAAATGTCTTACTTCATCAGGTTCAATTTCCAACATGGAGCTTTTAATTAGTCCCCATAATTCTGATTTTCTGTCATAATATTTTCCACATTCACAAGTGACCATAGATTTTCGCTGAGGTTCAAATCGAGACTTGATGGTCGCCATTCCATTATATTCTCTCCTGTAAACCATTAAAGCGGCGATATGACATGTCTGAGAATTGCGTCCAGGGATGAAACAGACGGTCGCCTTCTGGTTTGGTTTCCTTTATTTTGTTACACGTCAATGCGTTATTTAATGCCGACAAGATTTTTAAGATAGGTTCGTATGAATGGAATTTGCATTCTTTGTAAGAAATCAATTTGTAGGTCAGGTTTCATTGTTATATTTTTGTAAGATCTGCCAGGAATGGTGAAATGCTTTAAGAGCCCGGGTGCCAATTTGCTCTAAGTAATTAGTAATTGCCATTAAGGCACACTCTAGACATTTACGTCGTGAATTATTTTCTCCTCTGATCAGAGTAGCATTTATTATGTCAAAATTGTGGTCAGATATTCTAATATCACAGCCTGGAATATCTGCTTACAAAAATTATAGTCAGAAAATAGAAAAAGATTCTAAATGAACTCTGATGAAAAAAAAATCTAAAATTCCCAACTCCTCCTGTGTAGCCCTACCGATATGACAAAATTTAGTAAACTGTTTCCTCTTTGTCATACAAGTTTCCCAATACTCTTCTTGATGTATGAAAATACATACATACATACATATATATATATATATATATATATATATATATATATATATATTTATTTTGACAATTACATGTTTTGCTTTTCCCAATGTCTTCCTCCATATACGCTATATTTTGAATTTACACCCCAGTAATGTATTGGGTTTATATTGACTTTGAGCATTGAATCTGGGTATAATTTGTAATAAGCGGTTTAATCGATATATGTGCCTGACAACTTGGGTAACCATGTAACTTTAAGTTACACGACAAACGTAGGTATAAGTGTATTTATTAATATATATCCCATAGCTATTTTACTACACTACTTTGCTTGCACCATAAATACAATTACTAATATTTCGTTATTCATTTTATATTCACACATCTATCTATTTATTAATCAATCCTCACTCTCTCTCTCTCTCTCTCTCTATATATATATATATATATATATATATATATATATATATATATATATATATATATATATAAAAGGCAGGATGTGTGTGTGTGTGTGTGTGTGTGTGTGTGTGTGTGTGTGTGTGTGTGTGTGTGTGTGTGTGTGTGAATGCACGGGCGCAATTTTCGACGGATTTGCACCAAATTTACATGCACATGCTCCAAGTTAGCGGGAAGGCCAAGACCGACTTTGCATTTCCCAACTGCAATCGATAGTGGGAATAATCAATTTTTTCATGCTTCTACGGCAGTTTTCATGTAGTTTACGGCAATTTTGTACTGGCCAGCGTGAGAGCCAACAGCTGACTGAAACGAATGTTAACTAGCATGGTAGCATGCAAAAAAAAAAACGATAGCTGCATTCGTCACAAGTGGGAAAAAATTAAATCTGCATGGCTCATTCGCTTGCTTAAACTCAACGTTGATTCTGATTCCGCAGAACTGGGTTGGGTGTGAAAAAGTATTTGTTGTTAACATTCTTTTTTCATTCGGTTTTACCAGTTACCACTCCTTTTTTAAGGCTGATCGTTTTGTGTTCATTTTGTTTAGTTCGTAAGAGATTTAATGTTTAGTATAGAGCTTAGAAAAAATTCGCAGTGTGAGATAGGCAAGAAGTAAGGCATGTAGCAACATCAGCACGGCAAAGGGCACTCCTTTAAAGGCAACGAAGGGCAAAACTATTTTAAGTCAAGTGATAGCGATTGCTGTATGAGTCGTATCATTTTTGAACCAAGCACGGGTAACGCCGGGCCATGCTGCTATATATATATATATATATATATATATATATATATATATATATATATATATATATGTGTGTGTGTGTGTGTGTGTGTTGTGTTTGTATTTCTACAAAGTCGCGTAAAGACAGACAACACTTCCTTATTAAGTATTTTTTTATTTATTTTTCTATATTTCGTACAATTTTCTTGGCTGGGTGTGAAAGTTTCTACTTCACTGAGTTTTGTTCTGGAACATTATCGTCTTGGATTCTTTCGCAGCTGCTTCGTCGACTCCACTGAATCAGGTATATTTAGCCATATTTTTTTATTCTGTCAATTTTAGACATAGCCCAACGAAAATACTTTCTTCAACAGTTTTTTTTATGTATATTTTGCACATTTTTGACCATTTACTTGGTTTCCACTGGAGGATTATATTTTAATTTTCCCTTTCAATGATTTTTAAAAAAAATATTATGATATCCATTCCTTCCCCGCCTGAGTTTCTGTTACAACTTTATAAGTCTTGCCATTTATCCGTGCATTCAATATTTTTGCGACATATGGTTTAGTGCTTCTGTAATGTATCTAGAGATTTTTGACAACATCCAAAAATGAATATAACCTGACAGATCTTCTTCACCGACTTTACCATCGCCGTAACGTAAATTCACAGTACATTTGCTATAAATATTTCCATTGCAATTGTTCTGACCTGCTCTACTCTTTGTTACTTCGACTGCACGAATTTAAGAACAGTACCATATTAGCAGTTAGATCTCATCATTTGAATATTAGAACTGTAAAAGGTAATCGTAAGTTCTATTCAAATAGATTTTTTTTCTCTTGCACTTCTTGCCTATTGAATCTCTGGTCAACTAAGATCTTCGGTAATTGAATTATTTTCTTCTTATTTTCCTCAGCAAACTTTTCTCGATTTCTTTAATTCCTATAAAAAAAAACTTTGTATCTTAGTGGCTTTATCACCTTGAATGGAATTAAATGGTTAAACAACAAAAGAATGAAAAAAAACATTTCATCATAATTTTGACAAGATTAATGACGGCGTATTTGGGAAGATTTTTTTTTCCTTTATATAAGCTTGGTTAATGACCAATGAAAGTACGTTTTAAGTTTATTTTAGTCGTGTCAAAAATTATTTGGTCCGACAAACTTACCAAAAACTGAACCTACAATGTAACGACATATTTTTTTTTGTGAAAAGACTTCCGTTGTAGCAGAGAAATCTCCAACACACTCATATATATTTAATTTTATAATTTACCTTCCCTTTCATTTTTTTTTTTTTTTTTACTCTCCAATTTTCTTTAACTTCTGCCTCTTTGCATCTGTTATCTTCTCATATCTTCTCGAAACTGAAAATAAAATCTGTCGCCATTTTCGCTTCAAAATCAAGCTATTTCTCGACTTCGTTCCTTCTATTAATTTCAATCCTATGCATCATTTACTCCTTCGATTGAATGGTTCTGATCAATTTTCCCCGTTTCTAAAATTTCGTATTTTCGTATTCCCCAATCGATAATTATCTTGTCAAGGTTATTGGGTAAATTTTACAAGCTGTTATGTCGAGCATTAGCAACACGAATTTGTTACAGTATTTTCATTTCTTTTTCTTTTCGTTTTTCATCTTCTTCTCTATCGTTTCTTCTCACGAACTTTACGTTCCATTTAGTTTGATTCTAATTTCTTCTTTTCTTCACGTCTCTCCTTGTTTTATTCTTCTCATTTTTTTCTCGTTTTCTCTTTAGGCTTCTTCTCGTTTTCTTCTCGTTACTTCACGTTTTCTTTTTAGATTTCTTCTCGTTTTCTTTTTAGGCTTCTTCTCGTTATCTTCTCGTTACTTCACGTTTTCTTCCGCCTCATCTCGCGCTCATCTTCTTTCGTTTCATTTACTTCCCTTTGTCCACATTTATTTTCTCGTTTTATTCTAATTCTTGTTTCCTTCTCCTTTCTTCAAGTTTCTCCTCGTCTTCTTCAGTGGCCATGTCTTTTTCTTCTCGTTTCTCTTCGTGTTTATCCGCTTCATCTCGTGATCATCTTTAATCACGCTTACTTCCGTATCTTAACTGATTCTTTCCTCGTTTTCTTCCGTTTCTTTTCGCTTCATTCTCGATTTTTCTTGCTTTTTCCAGTTTCTTCTCGTTTCCTTCACGTTTCCTTCACGATTTTTCTTCTCTTTTCCTTCTCATGTCTTTTCGTTCTATTATCGTTGCTTCTTTTCTAGTTTTATTCTCGTCTCTTTTCGTGTTTTTTCTCGTTTTCTTCCGTTTCTTTCCGCTTCATTCTCAATTCATCTCGTTTCCTTCACGTTACTTCTTCTCGTTTACTTATCATGTCTTCTCGTTTTATTTCGTTTCTTTCCGCTTCATTCTCAATTCATCTCGTTTCCTTCACGTTACTTCTCGTTTACTTCGCATATCTTCTCGTTTTCTTCCGTTTCTTTTCGCTTCATTCTCAATTCATCTCATTTCCTTCACGTTACTTCTTCTCGTTTACTTCTCATGTCTTCTCGTTTTCTTTCGTTTCTTTTCGCTTCATTCTCAATTCATCTCGTTTCCTTCACGTTACTTTTTCTCGTTTACTTCTCATGTCTTCTCGTTTTCTTCCGTTTCTTTTCGCTTTATTGCCAATTTTTCTTGCTTTTTCCAGTTTCTTCTCGTTTCCTTCACGTTTCCTTCACGATTTTTCTTCTCTTTTTCTTCTCATGTCTTTTCGTTCTATTATCGTTTCTTCTTTTCTCGTTTTATTCTCGTCTCTTTTTGTGTTTTTTTTTCTTCTCGTTTTCTCCCGTTTCTTTTCGCTTTATTCTCGATTCGTCTCGTTTCCTTCACGTTTCTTCTTCTCATTTACTTCTCATGTCTTCTCGTTTTCTTTTGTTTCTTTTCGCTTCATTTTCGATTCATCTTGTTTTATCCCGTTTCTTCTCGTTTCTTCATCTCGTTTCCTTCTTAGGTCTTTCTGCTCTATTATCCTTTATTCTTTTCTTTATGTTTCTTCTAGTTTTATTCTCGTTTCTTCTCGTTTTCTTCCATTACTTAAGTTATCTTTTCTCTTTTTTCTGTATCTTTTCACTTCACTCGCTTTTCTTTGTTTATTTCTTCTCGTTTCTGCTTCTTTCCCATGTTTTGTCGTTTTATTATCGTCTCTTCTTTTCTTTATGTTTCTCCTAGTTTTACTCACGTTTCTTTTCTCGTTTCTTATCATTTTCTTCTCGTTTTCTCTTATTTTCTTCTACTTTTCGTGTTGTTCTTTTTTCATCTCTCTTACTTCCGTTTCTTTGCAGTCACTTTCTTTTTTTCTTTTCGTTTTCTTTTGTTTTGTGGTCTTCTTTCGTGACATGCCAGTGTTTATTGAAGTTTCACATGCCAAGTCCTTATTGGGGATACACTTAAAATTAGTTGCAAAAAAGGGAAAGCTAGATTCTTGCCTTTTACAGGGAGAATATCACACACAAACACACGCACACAGAAATATATATCGGGACGTAGGCGATCATGGCCCACAACATCTTCCTGTCTCTTGTAGCTCTTAAAAAGGTTTGTCTTTTTCTTATTTTTCTCAAACCCTATTCTACCTTCAATTTACTTAAGTCCATCAAGTATACTATGCGCTGAATTCCTCTGTCCCTCATTCCTTCAAACTGTTCTGTGGGTATCATGTTTTCCAAGCCTTCCTTCCTAATTACCTGCCCCAGAAATTTCGACTCCCGCTTTCTGGTGTTAAGTATCTTTACATTTTGTTTACATTTTCTCTATAACCTCCTCGTTGCACACATGTTCGGTGCATGGTATTCGCAGCTTCTTTCTCTAGGACCATATATCTGTTGCTTCAAATTTCTTCTTCATCTTTGAGGAGATTGCCCAGCATTCACTGCCATACATGAGACCAGATATCACGTAACAGTTCAGTAAACTTTTCATCGTTTCTAACGAGATTTTTGTCTCTTAATAATCTGCTTATCATTTGGAATGAATCATTGTCTCTGTAATGCAATTCTTTCATAATCCTGGGTATGACAATAAACTACAACAGTCAGCAAGAACTCTGATCAGAAGATCGAACGTTTTGAGAAGCGTGGAACCACACCTTAATTGCTGTTAGGGTCCCAACTATGGTCAAATAGTGAAACCCCAAACAAATACAGAAAACTATGAAAGTATAAAAATACATTTTTATAATAACAATAAACTTTGATATAAAAATACCATGAAATAAAAATACAATTGAAATACAATGAACATGAAGGAACTTTCAAGATATTAATCAATTTTATATTCTACGATTTCTTAAATCAAACTATTCTGAAATATAATTTCAACAAAACCAGAGTAGGGAACACGCATATTACTGCCTCTAGTAAATATCTCCACACAAACATGTTTATGCACAAAAGGTGAGTATCATCTACCATGTATTCAACTGTGAAAGCAGAATAACATATATTCTATTTTTATTACTTCAAAGCTGCCAAGAAAATTAAATTTCGGCATTAATTGACCAATAAGGTGTGATATGCAGTTAAACAAATCAAATCTGAATTAAGCAATCGATCCTGACCTGTCATATCGACTTTCTCACAGACGTTATGCAACTTCTCTCTGTCTTTTCTGCAAAAATAATCAAGGCAACTCTTATGATAAACGTTTTTCCTGGAACGGCGATTACATGTGTGCTACCTGATTGGCAACTGTGCCTCATCGTTTTATTGATGCAACCGCCAGTGCCATTCTAACGGCTTTTTTCTCGCACTTCCCTGTCAACTACAATCTTCTGTCCTTCTGAACCCTGTCCCTTTATTGCCCTTTCCTCACTTCTCCACACTAAAACCTCTCAAAGTCACCATACCTCGTGTAAAACGAATAAAACATGTTTAGTTGAATAATATCGACCAGTTCTTTCTATCTATACGAAGCTTATTTTGAATATGACAACAAATTTATTTGCGTCGAGGTACTACAAGAAGTATTATATTTAAAGCCCCAAATCTCCGCTCACGAAGACATAAATCTCCGCGTAGCACGAACGTTGCCCCGATCGCTTATGAGCAGTAATCTTACAGAACCTGTCTACTTCGAAGGATAGTTCGGAAACTAGATGTTACAATAATTATTTCCTAAACTGATTGCTTACATTTACATTTAGATAATATCTACATCCATCTCGTAATGCAAGAAAATCCAGCGTTAGCGAAGATTTTAATGGAAAAAACATAGTCAATCGACAAAAATAAGCATTATAAGTGTTCAGTGTTTAATACAGCCTTACTGAGAATAGACCTATTAGAAATTACTATATAGAAGTAATTTCTAATAGGTCTATTCTCAGTAGGAAATCCACAAGAAAGACATTGTGTTGAAAAACTAATATAAAGATTATTAAGAATGGTTTAATTATATATTACTTAACTCTGGAAATGCATTCAAAACTCTATTTACTGTGGACAAGAATGATTGCAAACATTGCTGAAACTAGTGTTAATATAAATTAATTTTCTATAGAAATGTATGTTAAATTCACAATAAAAGATTTTGAATGGTCCGGAATGACTGCAAGCCTTATTAGCACAATAGACCTGATATATATATATATATATATATATATATATATATATATATATATATATATATATATATATATATAGAGAGAGAGAGAGAGAGAGAAAGAGATTGAAAATTCATTGCTGATGGTTTTATTCATGTTGTAGTAAATTGTAAATGATTTTATTATAGACACTCAGGGGAAATCGAGAGTTAATATTATCAATAATTATGCGTGCATTTATGCTTATATTAACGGCTTACGGTCCCATCACGTTGAAGCATTGATTCGCGTACGATCACGGAAGTTAAGTTAAGCAAAGTTGAATCTTGTCAGCACCTCAATGTGAGATCGCTTGGAAATGCCAGAGGTGATAAACTTGGATGTGCGGATGGTGTAATGGTTTAATGACTCGGAATTTTTAATTGGAGAGCCGACATCCAATTCCCTTTGATTATTATTTAAAGTTAAAAAAATGTTTTTAGATTATAACAATATTTTTTTACTATTTAACCCATATATGGGGAGAAGAATAGTAGATTCATGACTTTTCCAAGAGTATTTGTGCGTAAGTGAATACAGGTGTCCTCGACTTGCGTTGGAAATCCATTCGTACGGTACGACGTACCTTATTTTCGCCGTAGGTCGGAACCCATCTACATAATCAGCCACGAGTCGGCCTTGCGCTTGGGAGCCATAATAAAAAGCAATAAAGTTAAAAAAAAACGAAACAAACGAGTGACAATGTATTACATTATGGGAGATGGCGCCATAACCACGAAACGCCGTACGTCGAGTCCGACGTAGCTCGAGGATCTTCTGTATAACAAACCCAACCAGAATTAAAGCTAATGCTGAGACATTATCAATTATTCCACCTCTGCATCCATGATTGCATCACATAAGCCGTCACCCATATAGTTACTGAACAAGCACGGCAATGCTTAACTTCGATGATCGTGCTGCAACCGGTGTTTCAACGTAATACGGCTGTAAGTCGTAACGAAGCAATAAGAGATTTTTCATGGGGATTTTCTAGTCGTGAAAGTAGCAAGGAGTTTATCCAGTCATTAAATTACGAATTAAGATTCATTAGAAAATTTAAATATCAAAAGCGTGTAATTTTCCCGGGTGTTGCTAGTATATAATTACGTCTCTTTAATTAACGTGATGTTAGCCATGAAAGATGAAAAAAGAAGAATGTTTCTATTTGCGAACTAAATATTGCTTGTCTGCAGGTATGATTTTCTGAGTTGCTTTCATATTTTATTTTTTTTTATATTGATTGAAAGGGAAGCGTTTTTTGAAACACATTTTCTCCAGAATTTAAATTTGAATACAATTTTGTTCCTTCTCGTTGCGAATCCCATTTCAAAATGGCAAAGAATCTCCATCAATTCAAAGACGCAATCAGCAGTTGCAGCCTTGAGTCTCGAAGACATTTGTAAGGTAGCCCAGCTGAGTTGAGTTAGAATGCGCGGAAGCGGTTTCAGGCGAATCTTTGTATTCAGTTCCTGGCCAAAATGCAGAAAAAAAAAAAGATGCAATTTGTCGAAAGAGAAAAAAAAGATCTGCATATTAATTAAATTGACATTTTTTATTCAATTATTGGTTTAATTAACCCTTACACATTCTGTCCAGTTTCACTTAATTGAAAATTAAAATTCGCGTAAAAAAAAAAAAACCTTTCAAATTTGCAGTTCTCCAGAACGCTTTTCCTTACTGAATGCTTAGAATAATGAAAATGTAACTTAAATTTTATTCTACACTTGAAACACCGATCTCTTTGAATTATTACAACTGCTATGTTTGCGAAGAGAAAATCCTAAATATTCATACACAAACAACTTTACTTAAAAGTTTATATTTTCCGTTAATCTTTCTTACAGTATATGCAACATTTTTACAGTAATATGCAATATTGTATTAACCCAAATAGGTTTTAGTCTGACGTTATTAAAATATACATCTCAACTTCTTAATGATATGGCGTGAATAAAAAAAGACATATCACATGAGCAGCTAAGGATACGTTGCAGATGATATTGCTGATTTAATGAATGACCATATATATGTATATAAAGAAATCAGTAACGAGAGTCATCACCTTTGCGTTTCATCAGATCGAAATTGGTCAGGCGATTTGAAATAAAAAGAGTAAAGTGCCACACGATACGATTCTGAAAATCAGCATTTTGAAATAGAAAAAGATGCGTTATAAAAATTATCTAAGGTCACTCTGCCATTGCTGCTACTACCATGTCATCCAACTCTATCTGCTGCTTGGTTGGGCCACGGGTGAATTAACCAGTTCCCACATCAGAGACTTCTAGTGAGTAAGGTATTTAGTCCTGAAGCAGGATTACATACAAGACAGGTCAAAAAGGTGGAAGAATCTTTTTGTAAAGTTAACGGCCATTTTGTAGAGTGGGGTTAGACAGGGCTGTATATCTATGTATTCTGACTGCGGTGATGTCACGACATCGATAGACGGAGATCTACTCAGATGTGTCCGTAACGAAGGTGAACCTTCAATTTAAAGGAGAATGGCTATGGTTTGACGTGGTCAGAGATGAGATCAACCAGCTTGACTGACTTTGATTTGATTTATTGAAAGGCACATCAGCTCCTAATAATTTTAATACTCAAATTTAAAGTTCTTGGGAAGTTTAAAGTAAGAAAAATTTAATATATGTTATTCTGCTTTCACAATTGAATACATGGTAGATGATATCCAGCTTTTGTACATATACATGTATGTATAGATATAATTATTAGAGTAGATTATGTGTTTTATG